GGCTGGGTGGGGGCACAGCTTCGCCCTCGCCGCCGACGGCGCGATCTGGAGCTGGGGCTATGGAGCCTGGGGCCAGCTGGGCCACGGCGACGAGCAGAACCAGCTGCTGCCCAAGAAGGTCGAGGCGTTTGCGGACCGGCGCGTCGTCGCTGTGTCGGCTGGATGTCTGAACAGCCTCGCCATCACCGCCGACGGCGCCCTCTGGAGCTGGGGCGATGGACGCCTTGGCAAGTTGGGCCACGGCGACGAGCAGCGCCAGCTGCTGCCGAAGATGGTCGAGGCCTTGGCTGACCAGCGCGTTGTTGCTGTGTCGGCTGGGCCCTTCCACAGCCTCGCCCTCACCGCCGACAGCGCCGTCTGGAGCTGGGGCGATGAAGAGTACGGCAAGCTGGGCCACGGCAACGAGCAGCGCCAGCCTCTGCCCAAGAAGGTCGAGGCCTTTGCTGGGCAGCGCGTCGCCGCCGTGCTGGCGGGAGAGGACCACAGCCTCGCCATCACCGCCGACGGCGCCGTCTTCACGTGGGGCAAGGGCGAGGACGGCTGCCTAGGCCACGGAGAGGACCCGTCGAACCAGCTGCTGCCCAAGAAGATCGAGGCTCGCAACGCCAGCGCAGAGTGAACTCAGCCGTCTACGAGTCGTCTCGAATGAGATCGACTCTCGACTCCCGTGAGGTATCGGCGACACGTGTCGCGGGCGACGTGGTATGCTGTGGGTGGCGACTCTGCTGACAGCCGCCTCAGCTCAGTCGAGCGGTACGATCCGGCGCTGAACGCGTGGGAGACGGTTGCGCAAATGGGGGCGGGGCGGATCGGCAGCATTGCCCTGGTATAAGCCGATTCAGCACATAGGCGCGCGGGCTGGGGGGCGCTGAGTGTAGCTGTAGGGCTGGGGGTGAGTGTCTGAGGCGGTGCTGGAGGCATGCGCGCGTTGATGCGCGTTGGTCTTTTTTCTTCCTTTAAACTGCAGCTAGTTTTTCTTTTCGCGGTCGCACATGTTCTGCATCAAACATCATGGGGCTCTGGTTCTTTTCGTCACCGCGGATTTCGTCACCGCCCTCTTTACCAGTTCCACACCGTCGACGCGAATGCCCCAGCCGAAGCGAAGCGGTCCTACCTGGATTATGCCACCTGCCGAATTCTCAAAGCTAACCATTACAGCCAGGCGCTCGTCATTGATTAGGTCCTAGTACCGGGAGATGCACGCGATCTGCCTGGCGCTCGAGGTGCCGGCGGTCGTGGCGCAGATGCGGGAGATTGCGAGCGCCGCCGTCTGCTGAGGATAGACCGGAATCTTGGATGCGGGAGATTGCGAAGCGCCGCCGCGCATCGTAAGGTATCGGTAAGGTTAACACTTTTTTTAGCAGCTGAAACCTTGGACTTGATAAAAGAATTTATTAACGACGCAACTCTCTCTCACACCCACAAAGAACAACAAAAAAGGTGCAAAGAACCCTGCACAAAGACCGCAGGGCGGGGACCTGTTCCTTTTTACCCATCTCCTAGTAGAGGTGTCCGTTTTATTTATTTATTTATTTAGTTCGCGACGTGCATATCGATCGTCGGTTCGTGCTTCTCGTCCAGACAGCGCTCAGCGGCGAGCGGGGTGTACGGGGTGTGGAGGGTGAGTTGAACAGGGGTTGTGCGCCAAGCCCTCCTGCTCGGCTCCAGCGAGTAGACAAGTGTTACCATCAACAGAGGAGAAGGATATGACCTCAGGGCTGATGTGACCAAGCGCTGGTAGCGTGGTTTAACCTCACACCCATGGTCTCACAGTGTGCCGGCAGTCGCCGAGCAGTGTCGCTCACACAAGCCGCAGCACAAGTGACTGAGGGCCAGTGAGGGCGAGCCCATCGCTGTCACAGCTGTGGCAGCCGCACAGTAGGCTGTGTCAGCTGTGCAGAGTGTGTGAGCAGCAGAGGAGCTGCTCTCCAGGCTTCTGTCGCAAAGAGCTGCATGCCACCGAAAGCGCTGTCGAGGTTCGCCGAGCGCGGCGCAGGTTGGAGGACACCGTCACCGACGAGCGCGTTGGACTTTTCACTCCGGACAAAGACGGGGACACAGCGGACGGTGCGGGGTGTGTCCCCGTCATAGCGGCGAGGCGCGGGACCGTCTGTGGCGAAGTGGGTCGCGTCCTCCGATATTGTTCAACCCAGCATCCACACCCTTTAACTTAGATCTCTTTGTTGAGTACAGGGAGTAAGGCGAGACCCATAAATTACGCCTACCTGCTATATACCATGCGCACAGCTATGTTGTATACCCCAGTGTGTACTCTCGCTGGTTGTCCATCTCGGGCTCTCGGCGCCGCCCGTCTCGGAGCTCCCGACTCCCGGCGGAGATCCAGAAGCGAGAGACGGTGGCGGCGGCGGTGTCTCCTTATACCCCCAGCCTCCCCTCCCCCGCGCCGCTCCTCTCTCCCTCGACCGGTAGACCCTCCCAGCCACGCGGCGCGCTGCCCGCACCGCGCACCCCCCCCGCACCCCCGCCTCGCGCCCCCCGCGAGCCCTGCGGGTAACGCCTCAGGTGTTCT